GATGCAGGAAGTCAGAGACTTTTCAGCTCCGTGCCTCACGCCTGCCACTCCCCACCTCCGCGGGGTCCGCCCCCGGTACCTGAGGCCGGAGCAGGTGCAGACCGAGGCCCAGGAGTCCGCGTGGCCCTGCACGGCTCCCTGGTGGCAGCAGTCCTCCTAGGGCACAGAAACATAGCACCGCTCGAGGGACAGGCCAAGGTTTGGGGTCGCCTGTTGGGGAAGAAACGCGGCGTCCTCCCACGGCCTCTAGGGACAGCGCCCTCCGGTTGCCCCCTCCCTCCTACCTTCAGGCCGGAAACACGGCACAGGCCGGTTGGACTCACCAGGGTGTGGCCCTCACTGACCATGCGGGTGCCATCAGGCTGGTACCACACCAGGGCTGGGCGGCCTGGGACGAGCTCCCTGTGGAGGCAAAGGAGGGTGGTGCCAGCTGCCTCCCAGGGTGGTGTAGTGGGAGCCCGAGGCCTGAAGGTGGTAGAGGGGTGGCAGGGGTGGGGGGCGGGGAGGGGGACAGGAAATCCCCCAACCTTCCTGTTCTTTCAGAGTCAGCAGAGGGTGGTGGCTGGGCCACATACTCTGCCGGGCACTGGGGGTTCCAACCAGCTTTCCCACACATTAGCTCTGTGACCTTGGGCAAGGTGGTTTTTTTGTGTGTGTGTGTGTGTTTTAATTTTTATAAGAGTTTATTTGAGCCAAACGGATGACACACGCCAGGGAGCAAGAAGTCAAATGCTCCCTTGGGCGAGTTATCCAACCTCTCTGTGCCATGATTTCTTCATTTATAAAATGAGGACAATAGTAGCAACCGCTGCCTCTCTTCTGGGGTTGCCGTGAGCAACCGGGCGCTGAGTGTCGCTAGCCACGTCATTATTGTCATTACCGCGATCGTTATTACCCGTTCCGTAGCAGCTCCAGGATGTGACTCTCACCATCCAACTCCACTTTGATCCGCAAAGTCTCGGGCACATTGGTCTGTGGGCACCACAGGGCAGGTCACCTCCCTGATCCTGCCCGAAATCCCGACCCTCCCCAACCAGAAAATGTCAGGCCCTTAGGAGAGCACCAGGATTAGATCACTGGTGGGGGGTTCGGGAGGGAGGGGCCAGGAAGCCCCGCCTGGCCTGGGGCATTGTTCTGGGGGGTGGCGTGGGGAGGTCAAGGAAGGTATCTGAGCCGCCCCCCTCTCGGCTTCCTGCCCAGAGAGGAAGCATCGTGGAGGACCCAGTGCAGGCCCCAGCCCTTCCTCTGACTCAGCTGTAGAATTTGGGAGGGGGCATTCAATAAGACCTCAGTGCCCCACTGAGAAAACTGAAGACGCAGACCAAGAAAGTGGGTTTGGCCTCTGCATCTCCCAGGGGAGATGGACGGGCTGGGTGGGGCTGAGGCAGACAGATGTGTGTCCAGGGGAGAGGGGGATAAATGAAGCCAGGTGTTGGGGTGCGGTGGGAGAGGCAGCCGGACCTGGGGTGGCCGTGCCACAGTGAGGTCCGCTACTCACCTGCTCCTCGGCCAAGCTTGGCCCCGAGACACCTGGCTGGGGTGGGGGGGGCATGTTTCTTTATTTGAGGGGAGAGGGGGGCTCACCTGAAGCACCTCTGTTAGGCTGAGCGTCAGGCCGTCCTGAAGGGCCTGGGCCTCCGAAGGCCCGCTCAGGGCCCTCGCTGGCCTGGTCTGCTCCTCCTCAGCGCCACCTGAGGGACCCCCCAGGACCCCCCAGGAGAATGCTCAGAGAATCAGCACCAAGGCTGGGGGGGGCTGGTGCCCTCTGACCCACCTGAGTCCTGCATTGCATGCTGGGACTTGAAGGAGAATACTAAGGAGTGGGGGCTTCTTTCCAATATTTTGCTTCCAGCCCAGCGACGCAAGGCCTCCCCAGAAGGAAGTCCAGCTTGCCCAACCTGTGGCCCCTCCCTGTCCCTCTCAGGCCAATCCTAGGCTCTTGTAGGGACCCTCCTCACTTTCCACTCCCACCCAGTCTCCCCCCACCAGGAACGCCCCCTCTGAGGACTGGGGAAAGCCCTGTGGCCTGGCGCCCACTCACCCTCCCCTTCCTCACATAGGAGATGCTGGGAACGCCCGTTTCTGGGTGAGCAGTGCAAACACCCCCCTCCCTAAACACCCCTGTGCCCAGTCCGGCACACCCGCTCCCCACAGCCTCCGCTTCCTCCCCGAACTCGCCCCCCCCCCCACATCTCTCCTCCGACACCGCACCCGCGCCTGCCCTCTCGGCCCCCGGCCCAAGACAGCAGCGGGAAGTGAAAGTTCCGAGGAGGAGTCGGTGTCCCAGCCTCTTTCCTGGCGAATTCTCCCCTCTCTCGGCGTCTCCCGGCCCCTCCCGCTCAGCCAGGTTTCTGGGGGCCTCAGCTCCCGGGAGGGGGACCTGACCGCTCAGGCCCGGGAGGAGGGCGGGGAAGAATCCCCTTCGCCGAACCCTGAGCCGTGTCCACTCGGCGCCCCGGCACCGGTGGAATGGTCAGTTAGGGCCCTGAGAAGCGAGACGTCAGTCCCGGGGGTTGGCGACCCTCTCCCGCGAGCCTTAGGGAATGGGGCGCTGCGCTAGGCCTCCTCGGTGCCCGGTACCGGAGCCTTGAAGTGTCCGGGGATGACGCCGAGGATGACCCTCCTTCCGTCTCCACCCCAGTCGCCGGGCCCTCGGCCCAAGACAGCAGACCAGGGCGGGCCGCGCTCTGGTTGGGGTCTCCCAGGGTCTTCTGACCCCAGCACCTCAATGCCTCCCGACTTCCCTGCGCCTCCTCCCAGTCCTCCCCCGCCGGCTCCCGGCCAGGCACTCACCTGTATCTGGGAGCGGCCGGGAGGGCAGAGGGCTGCTGGCGCCCAGGAGCCCCAGGGCCCAGAGCAGCGC